TCCTTCAATAATTTTATTTAATAATTACGAAAATATCATTATTATTTTCATTTAGTTTCTTAGTGGTTTATGCTTATTTTTGCAATTTAATTTTATTCAAGAATTTTAAAAAAATTGCCAATATATCTTGCCAATATATATAAAAATATATGTTGATTACTCATAATGGTATTATTATTCTGATATTTATTATACAAAGATATTCTATACATTTGGAGAAGAATTTAAAGGTTGTGCATTGTAATTCCAAGATTTTTTAAGTAGTAGAATGTAAATGGTAGGAATAGCCTCACTGTTATTTATTTATTTATTTATTGCTAATTGGACCATATATCTCTTTCACATAAAGATACAAGCTATTTTTCTTCAGTCGATTAGATTAATAGTGACTTTTTGTACCAACTATACCATCCTAAAATTGAATTAGATCTAAATGATGGTGTATAGAAGTGAAAAAATTAAAACCACTATTTATTATTATCTTCTAAGATATTTAAAAGCCAATCCTTTGTTTAATTATATATTTTTTTATTTTTTTATTTTTTAATAATCATTTTTGTAAACCATCAAATAGTTTTCTAAAGAATATAAAAAAAATCTTATAATTTTATTTGTATGTTGAAAAATTGATTTAGTTCTATAATTATATTTACTTACATAGTAGTATTGAATTAAAATAAAATAAAATTGAATCTTAATAGATACTTTAGATTTTAAGATTTATGTTCATTTTATTAATATGTTATGTTTTACTAATATCTTCAACTTTTAAAAAATGCATCCTAATTTTCCTTTTATTCTTTTAAAAAGTAAAAATAAATAAGAAAATATATAATGTTTAAAGAATCAATCTATAGTTGCACTTGTTACATGTTTGCATTAAAAAAATGGATATAGTACCAAAAAAGGAAGTGAAATCCTAAATTATCATTGTATAATTGTTGCATTTTATTAGAATATGCATATGTGTGTGTGTGTGTGTATATATATATATATATATACATACAATTTTAATTAAATTTTTCACTAAAAATATTACATTTTGCCAAAGGTAATGATGATTTGGAATTATAAGGTGGCATGATTTTTTCAAAGGTTGGAAATATTTTTGAAAATAAGATTTAAAAAATAATGTATTAAAATAGATGAAATAGTTTTGTTTTTTTTTTTTTTAATCCACATAAGTCATAAAGAAATACTCATTGTTTTTTGTTCTTTTCAAAATCTCATTGAATAAAATTTGATCTTAGAATCTCAAGTCTCTCTTTGCACCGAATTCCACAATTCTTTTGAATCCCCTCTTGATAGAGCTCCTCCTCCTCTTCACCTATGATGTGTGTTCTGATTAATATGCTACACAAAATTTTAACTTTGTACATTTCTTTTTTATTTTATTTTTTATTTTTTATCAGTTTAACTATTCTTCTGTTATTTGACTTAGCAATCACCTATTTTGATTCCTGAATAATACTAAAAAAACTCAAGAACTCATTGAAGCAACACAATTTTTGTGATTGGATTAATTGGTATGGATGTACTTGGTATGATTAAGAAAAACATGGTGCTTTCTTGTTGTGATAATTAATTGATAATTGAAATTTAATCCAATTTCCTATGAACATAGTTATTCTATTGGCTTACAGATATAAAGAGATTGCTTCTCTAAAAGCCAAATCTGGCTCTATTTCTTCAAAATTTCATACAAATAATTATGGTGATGGATTTTATTTTATTTATCTATTTATTTTTTTGTGTGTTAATAAAATGCTCTGTAAAAATTTCAACAAAGTCTTTACTTAATTTTTTTTTTCTTCTACTTAAAATCATCATAAATCTTTAAAGCAAAATTTTGATTTAAAAAAATACCAATTATTATTCTTTTATAATGCAGACAGTGATCAAGTCTTTTTTGGGCATATCAAAAGGGCCAATAACTCTTTGTCTAAGATATGCCATAGTTCTCAGCTCCACACCATTCTCCTGTTAGAATAAATTGTGTTGGTCCTTACACACAAGTGTTGAGTTAGAGTAGGGGAACTGGTTCTGATCAAAAGCTCACTCAGTTGGGAAGCTCACACAAGAGTGGGTAATAATTCATGGAGCTATAGATTATTTTGCCTACTTCAATGGATCCATCAGGTTCTATCAAGCATGAAGGTGGTCAAGAGAGTGCGGCACTCTTTTATAACAAAACAAGAAGCCATTGACGAAGAGTTTGCAAATGTGTTGTAAAACTTATATGTTAACAACTTTGGTTGTTTGGAGACCCACAATGCACATGGTAGGGTGAGGTGGGAGTAAAGCTCCATCTACTACTATGGAAATGCACAAACAAATGCACAAAATTCATGTTTTGACTTTGAAATGTGATATGCATCTTTGGTAGAAAGCATAACAAAGTACGAAACAACTCCCATGTTGTAGCATTCTACTGTAAGCGTTTTCTTCCTTCCTTCTTCAAAAATGAATTTGTTGGTGGGAATTATGCAAGCTTGCAATGAACAATATGTGGTGTACGTATACATATACATATAATGATACATTATCTATTGATATTATTACACCTCACATGATTTCAACATGACTTAAATCGACTAAAAAGTGCATTTCTATACTAAGGATGCATTAGGCAATGCAATATTGAACCCTAATATTGACCAAAAAATAGAATAAATTAAATGATGAGTTTTTTTTTTTTTTTTTTTTTTTTTTTTTTTGCAGTCAAATAATAAAACATAAAAAATTGAATTAAAAAATATTAAAGCATATATATATATATATATATATATATATATTCAAGTTCTATTTTCTTTTATAAAATATTCATTATCTCTTTCTTTTTCTGAAACACCACACTTTCTTAAAGCAAAGAAAAGAAACAATGCTCATAAAAAGAGGCATATCCATGACTCATTATCTGTAAAGATGATACTTGGGATGAAGCAATATCAATTAAGGATGTACTGTTGATGATCATCTATATATATGCTAATAGAATATGATATGTAAATAAGTTTTGTGGGGCTTTAATGTGGCATGAAAGCATAATAAGAACTACTTAGTTTGGATCTCTACCAATTTTTCCTTACCATAGTGGTAGAGCATTCCTTATCTCTACCATGTTTTTGTTTACGTTTTGTTGTTTTCGGCCTATTGGATTTTGGATCTAATCATGATTAATTTCATTTTGAGTTTGTTAGACTAAAATTAGTATATCTTATTCTTTATCAATGTTCAGCAACTAGGTCTTTATTGCAAGGTCAGAAAGTTGAATTGATCTTTGTTGAATTGTATTTGGAATTCTATTTAAGAATTTGGCAATGTTTCTTATTCATCTATTTATTATCGTTTTATACTTCTATATTATTTAAATTTGTAACACTGAGTTATGTAAAAATTATGAAATGTGTATGATTAATGTTATAATTATTGTATTAAAAAAAGATTAATGATATTTTTTTTGTAAATATTTAAAAAAAATATTAAAATAAATTTTGTAAAAATAAAAAAATGGTTAAAGAAAATGGATTATTTTTAATTTTTAGACCATTACATTATTATTACATGATATATATATATATATATATATATATATATTGAATTATCATTTATTTCTTTTAAAATTTTATCGATAATTATTTGTCAAGAAAAAGTATTACTTTGCAATAAAAATCCAAAAATGCATATTCAAATTTTTGTTTTGAATTCTGTAATTTATTTATTTCATCTAATTTAATTTATTAATTTTAAAATTATATTTTAAAAATATTTCCAACCTTTAGAGTTTCACCTTTCTTATGGCATGATTATTAATATGTGTGCTTATATATATATATATATATATATATATACATTGAAATATTGTAAACATTCCCATGCCATACTTTGCATGAGTAATTTTTTGTACAAACAAACAAGGAATTTTGAATTGTTTGTACAAAGAATGTTTATCAATGATATTTTTATTTATTTATTTAATTTTTTGAATATATATAAAAAACTAAACCATCTTTTTATGTTCATTTTTTTATAGTTAAATTGCATCATTGCTAGCCATAGGGACAAAGGATGCATAATAAACCTGTGAGGCTTGTGAAGGCATTAACGTTGCCCGAACTATTTCAAGTCCAACTACTTCACCAAACACAAACACCAACATTTATGCAGTTATTGATCCTAATGGTTGGTGAACAGTAGAGCTTCTATCTTGCACAACTTTGATTGAACATTTAAATAATATAGTATAGAACTTTCTAATAATAATTTATCCATGATTATTGATTTTATTTTTTATATGTATATAATATCTCTCATTATTTTTAGTGATTTGAAGCATTTGTATCATGATTTGTGGAATTGATGTTGCCAACAATTGTATTGGATAGGTATGGATCAACAATGGTGACTTCACCAAGGAACTTGAGCTTGTTTCATTTGCATATGAGTTTAAATGCACCACTTATTTGTAAGATATTGATCCCAACCAAAATATAAATACATAAATAAATTAATAAATAAAATATAAAAAACCATAGCCTCTTGAAATATTATATATTCAAATCAAACATTATATTTCAGTAAAAATATATTCATTTCTTATTTAATATTATTTCACTCTTAATGAAATAAAATTTGAACATATGCTTCAATTCAAAAATGTAAATAACATACTTCAAGAATACTGCATAGAAAAACCCATTACGATTTTCTTTTTTGATTACTGTTTCAAGCAAATGGAACATTCTTTGTACAAACAAACAAGGAATAAAATATGTTCAGATTTCAATGACCAAAATTAACTAGAGGATAGTAATCAGTTTCACCAAATAAATAATAACCCAAATCCCATCTATAAAATTCCAGTTCATTATGATGGAAAATGGCACAACCATAAACCTCTTGCAACTTCAGCATTTATGTGTGTGTATATATATATATATATATATTTATAGAAATTCATGCTTGACCTTAAAATCCATCATCCACCTCTGACAAATAAATAAATAATAATGGCTTTCAAAAGTTCAAAATCCAGAGCATCCACTAACAGCCACACACAACTTGTTGCAACGATGCATACAAAACCAAATTGAAACAGCACCATTTCGAAGGTTTTATGATTCCAGTCCTACAGAAAAAGAATGAGGGAAATCCAATTCTAATGCACCTTATTTGCATAACCAATGATCGTTGTTTATTACAGAGAGCGAAACTGCACACTCCGCATCAGGTTCATGTGATTGGATTTGTTTCCGACAACCACATTGCAACCGTGATCTGCAAACCATGAAGAAAACGAAATCCCAAACACAACGGCCTTCTCACATGTTGTAACATCAAGTCGATGCCGCTCGACTTGATGCACTCAGATTAATCCCGTAGCCTCCATCGCCCATGGATTACATTTATTTTTGCTGTCGTTTCTGATGGTGCTCATGGATCACCACCTGGGCCGACGAGATGCGCTGGCATCGGCACTGGGCTGGGGGCGATGCAAAGATTCGTTTTCATGCAACTCTGGAACAACTGCTCGGGATAGTTTCCAGCCAGAGTGAGGTACGTGATCAGATTCCTCCAACAGTTTGTTGTTGGGTTATTGATATACTCCGCGTATGCGCACGCGTAAGTTGTGAATGCGTCGCAGCATCGCGTCAGGTTGGGACGGGTGGATTCGCAGACCGTAGTCACGGCGCTGTAATCCTGCGCGGAGAAGTCGATGGGGCAAACTGCACAATTGAAGTTTCTCATGAGCCCCCTCATTTACTTTTCTTTTTGCTTACGGCGGTCACTCGATTGAAGGGTACAACACTCACCTGTTACTGTTTGGAGGAGTTTTCTGGACGGAGATCCCCGCAATATTGCTCCTGCTTCGGTTCCTCCATCACCTGAGTGGACAATCAATTCAGCCATGGACGATGATTAAATGCGGACAGGAATGAACCCTATGAACATTAATCCGCTAACTTTTGCACAAATAATGATATCTGTAGTGCATCAGTACACAAGTGTCAATTATCCAGTTCTCGCTCGACATCCTCCACTACCACAGAACCCAGATATGTAGAGAGTGGGAAATTCACTTTTAACTTCGATCCAGTCCCACGAGGGCTCTGTCAGCCGAGACTCACCTCTAACAGCGGAGACAACGCAAAGCGATGCCACGATGAGAAGCAAACATCGCATCTGCGAAGAGCTCAAGAAAACGAGAGCCATGGCGCGTGGCGAGCAAGGGTCGAGACTCACACACCCAGTGAATCGAATTGTGTTCTGCTGAGCTGATTCAACCCCGAGTCCCACACAAATAAATAAACAAGCAAGGCAAGGAGAAGACCAGACCCAGTGGCGACTGGGTCTGACTGCTGCTCACCATGGAAGTTTCGGAGACCACTTTTCTTGACTTTGCACAATTTGTGTGATAAAATGTTGATATAGTTGTTGTTGTCTTTGTTGGTGATGTGTTGGAATAGTCACAAAATGTTACAAGTAGTTGCCATGCATAAACTTTCTTGGGCTACTGCTTTCTTCAGCCTCATGGAGCCATTAGCCGGGGTTCTTTGCGCCAAAAAACTACCAAATTGTCTAGCACAGGGGCGGAGCACATGGCCACCGCTGCCTCCAAGGTGGTGTGGATTCGGTATTTACTCCCTGATCTACACCAAGATTTCACTGATCCGTTGACAATGCTATGCAACAATCAATCTGGTCTTGTCGACATTACCAAGTTTTACAACAGAACGAAGCACATCGCCATGCGGTCTTACGTCATTCAATAGTTATCTGCACTCAACAAGCTCTGTTTCCAATACTGCTCCACTACCATGATGCGCCCCGACCTTCTCACAAAGCCATAGTGTTTTGTTCATGAAAATCTATAACATAGATATAAAATATACTTTGTATCACACTCAATTATTTTAATAAGAAAATGTTAACATAAAGCCAATGTTTCTAATTTCTTTCTAATATGATGGTGTTAGTTTCAAACTGAAGCTTTATCTAAGTGAGCAATAATTTTTAACATGGTATATAGCTCATGAAATGGCATGAGATTCAGCAGCATCGGTTTTGTATGACAGGATCCAACATGGAACCCGCCGCAACTTGCTACTACTAAGGAAACTGCTTAGATAGATAGAGAGCTTTGAGATCTGACACCATAAAAACACAAAGCATCGCGTGGGGATCATCAATTTTTTCTAGAAACTGAATAACATCGACAACATCTTCTCTCTTGTTCTGGACAATTCATTGATGGATCCGTGGCTTTGACGCAATACAGAATCTGGGATTTTTTATTTTTATTTTTTTTTGTTTTTGTTTTTGCCTTGTCTCGGAGTATTCAGAGTAGAAACAACAACTAGGTCTTTTGTTTTTCCTTTTGTTTGACACCATCTTTTGGTCATTGCTTTATCCTTCCATATCTTCATTGTCTTCACATTTTTTTTTCCAATTGGAAAGAAAACTTGGTTAGTGTTTTGTTCATGAAAATCTATAACATAGAAAGAATGTCAATTATTTTATGGAAAGAAATGGCAATTGGTCTAGAATTGACCAACTTACACATTTGATGTGTTGGCTCAAGTTGGCTCAAGTGTTAGGTGTTTGTAAAAATAGAATGAAATAGCACAAGATAAACTATGATAATGTAAAATAAGATACAAGATTAGTTGTTTTTGCAAATGGGGACTTAAGAATGGATTTCAAGGATAGAACTAGAGTTTGTATAGTAGCCAAAAGCCCGTTCATCAAACAATCAATTGTATCATCTTTACCACTAAAGAATCCATGTTGATGATACCTTGACACAACAACAAGAGCGATAAAAACAACACCAATTAAAAAAAATTAAAAAATTAAAAAACTAAAAAAAAATAGTTATCGATGGTGCCACCCATAGAAAAATGCAAACATTGAACAAGCCTTTTTTGAGCATGACAAAAGGACCAAAAATTGTTTATAAAAACTAAGCAATAGTTCTTAATCCCACACCATTCTCTTGCTAGAATAAATTGTGTTGATTTTCAAATATAAGTATTGGAATAGAGTAAAAAATTAGTTCTAATAGAAAAATTTACTTTATTAGAAAACTCATACATAAATGGCTAATAATTTAGAGAGCCACAAATTATTTTGTTTACTTTAATTGATCCATCAAATTCTATTAAGAATGAAGGTGGTCAAGATAGTACAACATTCTTTTATAATAAAGCGGAAGGCCATTAATAAATAGTTTTTGAAGTTTTTCAAAACTTATTTGATAACTAATTTTTTTTGTTTGGAGATTAGTAATGCTCATGGTAGAGTAGGATGGGAGTAATGGTGCATCTATTGCTATATGAATATATAGATGGATGTAAGTATCCAACTAAAGAGGAGAAGGAGGAAGAGGAGGAGGAGGAGGAGTTTGATATCACTTCTTCACAAAGTATCTTATACACTTACACACTTATATACATATATACAAACATACATACATCATGGAACTACTAGACTTCATCCAAAATAAAAATTGTCCAATCAAAAAAGACACAAAGACCAACGTGATAAGAAAGTAACAAAAAATCTACAAAATCCATGTTTCTACTTTGAAACATGATGTACATCTTAGACAAAAGTAGAAAAAAATTGGAAATGATGCACATATTGTAGAATTCTACTTTCAGTTTCTTTTTTTCTTTTTTTCTTTTTTTAAGAAAGAATTTGTTGGTGGCAATTATGCAAAGCTTGCAATAATTGATATGTGGTGTGTATATGTATGTATGTATATATGTATATATATATATATATATATATATCTATAAGCAAAAATTATTAGAATTTTGAAATACAAAGCTTATGAAAAAATATTTATATGTAAAGAAAAAATTATTATTGCTACATTTTATATTGATTTCATTATATCATATTTAATCTCTATACAACTTAAGTTGACTAAAAAATGTATTTCTATGCTCAAGGCATATTTGGTAGTTTAATATTTAATCCCAATATTGATCCAAAAATAGAATAATTTATATAATAATAATGATAAATTATTTTGAATAATCGAATAATAAATATAATAAATAAATTAATAAATATAATAAATAAATTAATAAATATAATAAATAAATTAAATATTTTTTTAGAAATATGTATATATATATATATATATATATATATATAATAAAACATTCACTCTCTCTTTTCCAACCACTAATCTCTTTTTCAGGCAAAGCAAGAAAAAAATGCTCAAAAAAAATAGACATATAATTGGCTAATTGTCTATAAAGAGGTTAATTGCAATGTAACAATATCAATTTGGGATGTACATTAAAAAATTCTCTTTATATATGCTAACAAAACATGCAATGTAAGTAAGTTTTGTGCAACTTTTATGTAGCATGGAATCATAATAAGCACTATCTAATTTGGATCTCTACCATTTTTTTTCTTATTACAATGGTAGAATATCTCTAATCTCTACCATGTTCTTATTGTTGTTTTATATTTTGGGACCATTGAATTTTGGATTAAATCATAATTAATCTCATTTTGAGGTTGTTGGACTAAATTTTGTATATCTTATTTTTTTTTATCAATGTTTCGTAACTAAGTATTTATTTTAAGATTGGAAAATTAAGTTGATCTTTATTATATAATATTTAGAATTCTATCAGAGGACATAATAAAGTTTTTTTTGTTTTTTTTTTTTTGGTTTTTTGTTTATTATTATTTCTTTTCAATTCACAAATAATGTAGTTTGATATAATTTTAAAAAATAAAAAAAAGAGTTTTTGGTAAAAGATTAAAGTTTTAATTACAACTATTTTTGAAACCTTTGAAGTAAAGACTTAAAATTTGCTTTAAGATTAAAGATTCTAATTTAGACTAAAATCAGAATTAGAATTTAATTTAGAATTCAATGTTTAAATAAAAATTTAATATTTTTTAATAGAATTAAAATTTAGGACCCAACATTTTAGAATTTAAGATTTGTATTAGAATCTAAGATCCATCTCTATGTTATGTTAGGGATGTAAATTGAAATTATAATGGAGATTAAATCAAAACCATATCTTTAAACTAATTATAATTGTAGTTTTACATAATTCTTAGATTTTATATTTGCCTCATTCTATTTAATAAAGAATATAAAATTTTAAAATTTATATAATTAATATCATAAAATTTTATAGACAAGATTTCATATAATTTATATTTTTTGCATAAAAAATTAGGTTTAAAAACATTACTAGGATAAGTTTGGTTCAATTAAATATCACTTATTACTAATATTAGTAAAGAATCATAAAATAATATGTAAATTTTAATTTTTATTATTATTATTATTTAGTAGCTTATTTAAATCAGAATAAAAAGATTTTTTGATAGAATAATGATTCTAAAAAAATTTAAGTTATTTTAAATCAAATTTTTATTTATTTATTTTTTTAAAATTAGTAAAACTATTAAAAAGTGTTATTAAAAAAACTAATACAAGTCTTTGCTATTTATTACAAGGTTATCAATGGGGTCTTGATCTTTTTTAAAGCTGTTATAAATTCTGATACAATTTCACATTAGAGCCATTTCAGATATTTTCATAAAAAATGAAATAAAGAGAATTAACTCTCTAATTAAAACGTATTCATGTTGAACTGTAGTTTGTTAAAATACAAAAAAGGCCATTACATAATATTAAATATGTAACATTCTTATAATTACTTTACAAAATAACATAATTTAAATTAATTTACTAAAAATAAAAATCATATTTTTGAAAATTTTTAATATTGTAACAAAATATTAAAAGACATGATTTGTTTTTATAATTATGTTGAAGTATAAGTTGTTTTATAGTTCTTTAAATCTTCAACTTTTTTTATACTTATTCATCATAAGATTGATATTATTTCTTATTCTTATTTTGTATCATGATATTTTTTAATTGTAATCTTTACATAATTTCTATACATTAGATATTAAAATAAATTACTTAATTATAATAAATAGAAATCCTATCATATTTTTTACTTTCAATATTAGTTTTATTTTCTTCATAATCCAAGTTTAGTATATATTAATTTATAAAATATTTTTTAAATACATATTATTAAATTTTTATCATAAAAAACTAATAATAGATTTTTTATTCTTTCCATTTTATTTCATCTAGATATAATTTCAGATGAGACTTAGAAATCCTTCAAAAATAATTTGAAACTATATAAAATTATATATCAATTCATATATATATATATAAATATATATATAATTTCATCCAAAGGTTCTTAGATCCAAATATTTTTTTAAAATTATTTTTCATATATATATATATATATATATATATAGATAATTTAATGTAATAATTTGTATATATGTAAAATATAAATTCAATAAAAATATACAATAAGAAAAACCACAATAAATTTGAGCTAGTGGAGATTTAAAGCCTTTAAAGGAATTACCAAGGATTTTTTAATAGTCATTGTATTTGAAATTTTATTCCTATAATGTGCTATATATATATATATATATATATATATATATATATGTAATTTAATAAGATTTAAAAATTATGTCTTTATTTATAAATTATCATTTTTAAAACTAGTTTTTGGTTTTTGGATTAGTTTAGATATAATAAGGACCATGTGGCTTAAATTTTGTGCAACACCTAATAGAGGTCCTATTCTTTTATCTATTATTTATTTATTTATTTAATAATATATGTTAATTTAAGACCTAAACATTATAAAGCCTTTGCTTTGTTAGATTCAAGAGTCTTAGCTTGTTTCTTAGATAGAAAATTTGTTAAAAGATATATCATACTTTTAATTAAAAAAACTAAATCTATTCATATAGAGGTCATAAATGATCCTCCATTGTCTTTTGGAGATGTTATTCATAAAATCTTTCTTATAGAAATAGCAATTAATGGTCATAGTAGCTTTATAATATTTAATATCATTAGATCTTCCTTTAATTTAATTATTTTAGATTTACCATGGTTAAAAAAGTATAATCATCAAATAGATTAGATTTTTTGTGGTCTTGATCTTCAAGAAGGAATCCAACTGCTATTTGGATCAATCTATAATGTATCACAAAATGAGTTAGCTAAACTTAAAGAATACATTGAAGAAAATTTGACTAAGAATTTTGTACACCATTTCAAATCTCTAATAAGAGCTCCAATCTTATTTGTAAAGAAAAAAGATGGATCATTGTAAGTGTATGTCAATTATTAAGGATATAAAAAGATATATATGAAGAATAAATACATATACCTTTGATATCTAGACTTTTTGATTAATTGAATTAAGCTAATATTTATACAAAAATAGATCTATAAGGAATAAACAATCAAGTATACATTATAGAAGTAAATAAATAGAAGATTATTTTTTGAATTAGGTATAGATATTTTGAATATAATGTCATGCTTTTTGAACTTAAAAATACACTAGTAACTTTTCAACATCATATGATATCTTTCAAGAATTCTTGGACAATTTTGTTGTCAATTATATAAATTATATCTAATCTATTTTAAAAACATAGAAGAATATGAACTTCATGTTTGTTGTATATCATAAAAATTAAGAAATGCAAGATTCTATGCCAAGTTAGAAAAGTATATATCACACTATTCAAGTCAACTTCTTAAGATATATCATTTCAAATGATGGATTTATGATGGATCCTAAGAATGTTCGAATCATCTTAGATTAAAAGATTTCAAAAAAAAAGAAGATATTCAATATTTTTTAAAATTTTTTAATTATTGTTGAAACTTCATGAAGAAATTTTTTCAAGTTATAACTCCACTTACATATTTGATTTATAAAGACAAAATTTAATTGAATCAAGAAGTAGAAGCAACATTTGGAGCTTTATAAACAACTTTTATTTTTGTACTAATCTTAAATTGTGTCAACTTCTCTAAGCCATTCTTTGTAGAAACAAATACATTGGATATTTTTTTAGGTATTTTATTATCACAAATAAAAATAGATAAAAAATTTCATCCAATAGCCTTTCATTTAAGAAAATTTTTAGTAATCAAGAATAACTATGAAATCTATGACAAAGAACTTCTTATAATTGTGGCTTTGTTTCAAAAATAGTGCTATTATCTAAAAGATGCTTTTAGGCTAGTTGCTATATATATGAATCACAAGAATCTTGAATATTTTTTGTTAGTACATGTTATGAATTGTTGCCAAGCTTGTTAAAGTCTTTATTTAGATTTGAATTCAAGATCACTAATCGGCTAGACAAACAACAAGGTTTATCAGATGTTCTTTTTAGACAATCTTATCTTATACCAAAATAAAAAAATATAATATATATATATATATATATATATATATATATATATGGAATTATGGAAATTAAATAATTTCTTATTGATGGCTAAAAAGACCTATCAACTACCTTCAAAAGAAATAAGAATCAAAGTATGTCGCAAATATAATTTGTTGTATCTTGAATTTTATCAATATGTGATTATTTCTCCTTATGGAACATGTTTCTAAAAGAAAGAAATATATTGCTAACATTCATATTTATTCTAATAGTTACTTAGGTAATATGAATAGCTAAAAATAGGTAAATATAAATTAATTTTATAATACCTTTTAGAAAAGCTTTCTATAAGCTTTGTAGATGCAATTTCACCTTTATACATGTCTTTAGATGATTGATAGATTAAAAACTTACCAACAAGTTAGCCACATGTTGTATGTATTGATAGCTTATGATATAAGCTAATAATATGGTACACATGTAGAAAACTTGTTTCGCAAGTTAAGACATGTGTCCTACAAATTGAACACATATTGGAGGTCTTATAGAATGTCACTATGTAGCTTTTAGATATATAGTATATATAGAGGTAAGAATAAAGCCTTCTTTACTCTTATCAAGTTCTTTCTTGCTTCTAGTCTAATTTTAAGGGTCTTAAATTTTCTTATCTTTTGGCAATAGCCATTCTAATTTATTTTTAATATACATATTTTTTTATTTTTATTTTGTCATATTTCTTTGAAAAAAGCCTCACTTATTTATTTGTCTTTATCAAGTTCTTCTACTTGATATACTACATTGCGACAATGTGGATTGATCTTTTTACAAAGGCAGTATTTAGTCTAAGAATTATCTAATATTTTGTATTACTTGGAATTTTTTGAAGAAAACCATGACCATCTATGCATAACAATTAAACAAATGTGTTAGAATAGATATAAAATATTATATATGATTGTTATGTATAAACTAAATCAATTACAAAATAGTCATATTCTCTCAAGGAGTTATGATGTGTACAAACTTCCTTCTCTATAGAATATATTTTATATTATATTCAATTATAATAATAAAAATCACATGTGAAAGAAGAAATTTATTTCAAATAGATTCTTATATTTTTAGAGTATTTACATAAATAAATAAATAAAATTTAAATAATTAGGTTTTGAGAGTATATATTATAGTTAAACATCTAAAGAGTTTAAAAGAGTTGGTCACGTCAAGAGGTTGTTAATTGAAGGTTTCAATATGGATTTGAATTTGATTTGAAGATAAGCTATTCCAATGAGTTAGTATTAGCGAAAGAAAAGATCAACTCTAAAAATCCATAGATATGTAGGTCTTAAACAACTTGATACTAACACCTTGTTTTGTTGAAGATAATTCTAAGTCATACTATCTTTTAGCTTTTAGTTTATTATTTACTTATTTATTTGTCATTTGATTCATTTTATAGTATTTTACATGATAGATTTAAAATCTTTAATTTTTCTTTATGTTATTTCTATAGGTAAATTTTGATCTTGTTTCTTAAAGCATAAGACAAATACTTCTATTTTCTCCTAACTACCTAAGCATATACAAACTACAAGTAGTAATACATGAAATTGTAATATCACATGAATAATTCTCTCATTAGATTAGGAATCTAAAAAAATATATTCTAGTTTTTTTTTCTTTCTAAGTTGTTCTAAACGATTGCTATGTATCAATCATCAAAATAACTCATTGTTAATTTTAAACAAAAAACTTGCACTTAGAATATCAAAAATAGAATTATTAGATGCATTGGAGATAGAAAATCCTAAATAAATAGATACTATAGATAATGGAGGAAAGTGGATCTTGTCCCAAACCTATGGTGTAAATTTCTAGAGTAATTATTAATGTTATTGAAGAAATTGAAGAAAAAGAAACAAGCTTCTAGGGTCTTGCCTATTATAGATCATCTTTTTCTGCTTCTCGTCCTCATCTTCAAACTCGGATTTTGTGGAAGAGGCTGCCGTGTGGAGTCTAGCTGGGCTTGGCCTTGCTTTTTCTTTTCTATTTTACATTTTTGGATCAGGGAGCTCCAAAAATTGGGAACCTGCTTATTCTTCACTGATTGGTTTTTTTTCTTCTCTGCGGAGTAGCAGTGGTAAGTTGTTGGAGTCGACTGCATTTTTCCTTGAGTTGGAGTGGCTGTTCATGTTCTATGTGTGAGGTTCTGTGGGTATTGTGGAGGTTGCATCAGTGCGGCAAGGAATGCGGCTCTCTGTTGGTTTTCTTGTCTCTGTTTTTAGTTGCGATAGTCAATGACACATTTTAGTGTTGTGCAGTGCAGCGTTGTCACAGCGGTTGGAAGCAACTAGTTCTTGTTGAGCCGTCATTGTGATCTTGTTGTTATATCCCATTGTGGTTTGGTAGTGGTCTAAATCATCTTTGTTATTGCACTGAAGCTCATCATTTTTCCTAGTAGTTATGGCTAATGACGAACGATTCTCTTTTTGTTGGCTCCTCGTCAATAACTTTTTCAAAATTAGGCGGCGTAAGCGGCACTAGTGGTGCAGCGTTGATTGTCAACTACCGGTTACAATTTTCCATTTACTCTAGTGCGGTAGTGCTTGGCCGTGTTCGAAGGTTTTTGCAGTGCTGTGGTGCCGATTAAGTAGTTAGCGCTTGTATAGATCTCATTGTTCTCTGCTTGCATTGTGTAGTGTGTGAAGAGTTCCAGTCTTTGCAAGGAAGGATTGATAGTGTCAATTTCTTCCTAGTTGTTTGGCGAAGCTGCAGAGGTGGAGCTCAAGCAGCGGCTGAATTCACTGCCCATTGCAAACCTCACTCCCATTATCGGGATTGCTTCACATGCTGTTATCTAAAATAAACCCCAGTAGTGGTAGTTAATTCTAATTCACAACACCTAAATTCTTTATGTATTTTATCAATTGAATCTATTGTTTAAGCCTTGATTTATCTCTCTCTTAGCTCCTCCAATTAAACTTATTAAACACAAGAACATCCATACACCCTACAGACAACATAACCTAAGTCACAAACTCTCAGGGCCTTGAAGAATTATATTTAATTTTTAATTAATTTTCATCCAACACTCAAAATTCATCTAAGTAGGAATTTTCATCCGCAAATGAATTTTCATCTATAAATGAGTTTTCATTTCATTCACGTATGAGAATTCATCCATACTAAAATTTTATCCAAATTCAACCTAACTTCATCCACCCACAAGCCCATAGTAGACAATTCCACGCCCACCACTTCAGTGTACCTTCCAATGAAATCAGCAGCAATACCTAGATGAATTCGACACTTTTTGAGCATGTTGGAAGTACTCAGCAAGTACTCTCTCCAGCATAGGAAATTCGGCGATGGAAGAGCGTCTAGGTTCCACAAAGAGTCGCTCCAGCTTCTCGAGAGAGCCACAAGAAGAACAGCACAAGTTTACGTTATCGATGTCGAACAAAATTGGAGTCAAGTGTGAATCACATGACAGCTTTATTGTGGGGAGAATCCATGTTGTAAAGCACCAACTTCGGCAAAATAGAACCAATGCGGTAGACGACTAGCACCACATCTAAGAACACAACTGCACCTTTTGTCAAACCACACTAGCAACACAAGGCGACCGTGGCAACAAGATGGAAGAATAAAACAGAACCTAGACAACCTCGAAAAATCTCCTAGCTTGCTGGAGGAGAAGAGGGGAAAAAAACATAAAATAAAATAAAAAAAAGGAACAATGGAAGCATGAGAAAGCTTTCTGTAACAATGATTAACATGACAAGGAATGGAGAATCAAGCTACTGCAAAATGGGAGTCAGCAAGGCAACCATAAAAACACACAAGCAATCACATAGACTGATCAACAATAGAGAAATAATAAGAGACGACAATGAGGGAGGAATATGATCATGTTCATTGAGGGGGAACACAAACAACAGTAGAACGACCAGATCAGTGTCTATAGCCAAAATGACGACAAAGAGAATCAACCACAAAGGTTGTAAAAAGAGAACAAAACAAAGGCTACAAGTCAAGTTGGGACTTGATTGCTTCAACGACCCAATAACCACCCTCAAAGGGTACAACACCTGATCTGCACTTACTGGACTGCACGAATATGGATTAATGATGCTAAGGATTTTATAGCAATGATGGAAATAATAAAAAAGTTAAGAATTGTTGAGACCAAGGGCCATTGCAACTTTGATGGCAATATGAAGTTGGCATTGTAGAGGTGGGAGAATTCTCTCAACGCATCACTGACTATGCTCTTGCTCTCTTTGAATAAATCTTTGATTCATTATTTTGCAACTCTCAACCTTAGCTAAATGAAATCCTTTTCATGGCATATGAAGTGTCATTCTAACTTCTAATAAAATTACCAAACATCAGAAGTTTCTTTCAAGGTCATGATATCAAATAAGTTATATCTTGCCATCTATTTGAAGAAAGATGTGTCATTCTTGAGGATCTTCATCTCGATTACGTCATCTTAAGAGTTGTGACAATTACAATGTTTTGTTCGATAAGTCAGCAAGTAATAGTTCTTAAATTAAATCTAATGGTTCTTAATTTTCTATCTCTTTAACATTACAAATGCACAAAAGTATCAAACAAGAATAGAAGGTAGAATGCTATCTTTCATAGATCTTGTTTCTTAAATAACTATTCTTCATCTTAGTTTTGATAGATGTTGTCAATGAAAAATCTCAACCTTCTTTGTTGTATTTGCAAGATTTTTTTTGGCTCCCATGTACATTTACTAATATCATATCATGCCAATGAATAAGATATTCTAACCTATTTTGGTGTTGCCTTGAATCTAAGATTTCTTCTACCTCAAATTCTTGATTATTACTCACTTTTGTAGGAGGAGGTGATATTTGTCTTTTTTCCAAGAAATTCATTGTCTTATATGACTCAAGAAGAGATACATAGAATATAGGATAGATTTTCATAGAATCTAATAGATATTATCGATAAGCAACACAATTGACTTATTCACTAATAGAAAAAGGTCTAAGCCTATGATAGTCCAATTTATCATAAAGACAAGTAGTCTTGATATTGCAATGAAGTAGCCATAATTCATCCACATTGAATTATAGTTGTTTCTTGCAATAGGCATTTGCATTGATCTTTTATTGTTCTTGAGCTTCTTTTAATTATGCCTTTATTGTTGCATGTAGTTTTGACAAATAATTTACTAAATCTTTTGTCACAAGATTATCAACTTTTGAAAAGTCAAAAATATCAAATGATGGATGATAACTATAATTGGCAAAGAAAGATATTTTTCAATTAGAAGAATGTATCAATTTATTGTATGTAAACTTTGCTAATGGAAAAAAAGTTGTCTAATCATCTTAATGATAATTAATGGTATACCTTAAATATTGCTCTAAAACTTGATTCATCCATTTTATTTGCCCATTAGTTTAACGATGAAAAGCCAAAGAGATCTTTATATCCACTTTTAATATCTTGGAAAGGATTCTCCAAAATCTTGATATAAATTAAATCTTCTTACTTGATATAATATCCTTGGATAATCTATGATAGCGATAGATATTGTCAAAAAAAAACTTAGTCATTTCTTTACCTATGATAAATTTTGTATATGATATAAAATGTACCATCTTAGTAAAATAAACTACTATCACAAATTTATAATCATATGAACTTGAGATTGGAAGATCCATGATAAAATTCATAGAAACTATCATGGACATACACTTGAAGATAGTTCGAGAAGGTTCTAGGAGATTTTAGAAGGTTTTAAGAAGGTTCTTGTAGATCTTGGAAGGTTCCAAAAGATTCTAATAGGTTTTAAGAAGATTCTAAAAAGTTCCAGTATATCCTAAGAAAGTTCTAGAAGATCATAGGAGATCTTAGAAGCATTTAGATGATTTAGGAAGTTGCCAAAGAAGGATCTTAGGCTTGCTTTGTTTCAAAGCCTCATAAAAACTTCTCAAGAAGCTTCCTAGGATCTAATATATATAGGAGTCGAGGCTAAGGGGATCCTCAGTCTCAACAACTCACTTCTTATCGTCTAGCTAGGACCTTCTTGCCTTGTATCCAATTATTATTCTAATGTCAAGCTAACTCCATTTCTTGGTCTTGAATCTTTGTCTTGTATATGGACCCTAATAGAAACAAAATACCATGGTTTTTTTGGAATGGATGTATTCTTCTTATAGATCTATTTCTGTATAGATCTTTGTTTGATTGAGTTGGTCAAGAAGTCCTAAAATGAATAGTAGGAGATACCTATTTTTTATTGTGATCTTGTTAAATCTTTGATAGTCTATATACATCCATAGAAATTCATCTTTTTACTTCACAAATTAGATAAGAGCTTTTATTGGAGATTTTAAGTGGCATATGAAGTTTTTAGCCAAGTTCTTATTAATATATTCATTTAGAGCAATCAATTCATTTTGTAATATGCTATAGATCGATCCAAATGGTAGTTAGATTCTTTCTTGTAGATCAATTATACAATCATAAGGTTGATGCTTTAGATGAATATCTTTATTTTTCTTTTCAAAAATGTCTTAGAAATCTTGATATTGGCCAAGAATACTATTTGATATTTTTTAAACATCAAAAATAGATGTGGCATATATAACAAAAGATGGCCCTTCTTTTGTTGCATGCATGAAAGCTCTTATACATACCAGTAAGAGATTGGATGTACTAGGCTTAATTATTTCTACTTCACTATGAAAATTTTGAATTAAATTATAAGAAAAATTAAGATTATGAGAAATCCAATCTATCTAAGAGTTATATTTTTCAAATGATAATAATCCTAAAATAATTGGATTAGAAGGAGATCTTGTCACATTAAATATTACTATACTATCATGAACTTTAATTGCTATATCTAAAAGAATAGTCTCATGAATAACCACTCTAAAAGACAATGAATAACCATCTATGGCTTCTATATAAATAGATTTAGTTTTCTTGACTAAATATATTTCTAGTTTTTTGACAAAATCTTTGTTTATAAAGAAGGTCAAGGTTCTTGAACCTAATAATACAAAGACTTTGTGATCTTTAGGTCCTAAATACATATCTATTATAAAACAAGGTGATGGATCTCAGGAAAGAATAAGATCTTTATTATAGCTGGAGAAAATTTTTTTTGACACATTATCTTCTTTACAATTGTGCTCCTCATTTTGTAATTGCATTGCTTCTTTGGATAATATTCAATAGTGTATATAGCTTCTCTATAATATAAGTACAAATTCTCTTGACAATGTCAAATATTTTTCTACTCTATGAAGAATTTAAAATATATTGTATTAATTTGTATTGATTATTGCCTTAATAAATAAGTTTCTAAAAACTTAAGAACTACCATCATGACTTGACTTGTTCATCTCCAGTCAAATCTTTGTTCTTGATGCCTTTTAAATAATCAATTATTGTATGCAATGGCTTGAATAATAAATTATTCTAAAGATTCTACCTTTGACATTGTCAATAACAAATCTTTGATGTTATTCTTCAACCCATATCAAAATTGATTGATAAGAGCTTTATCATTCTAGTTCATATTACAAGCAAGGTTTTGGAATTCAGCAGTATATATGACGGTTGATTGTAATCTTTCCTATAAAAATAAGAGCTTGGTTTTTTCTACTCTTTCTTGATCACTTTCTCTAAATGTAGTCCTAAACTTTTTTAAGAATGAATTCAAATCATAAAAGAATCACAAATCTTTTTTCATTAAAAGTATAAACCAAGAGACAATACTTCTAAATAGAAGTGTTTTTATGAACCCAACTTGAGTAAGTCCTTTAAAATATTAGAAAGGATGTAATCTTAAATAAAGCTTGGCTTATTGTAAAAATCTTCAAAATTTTGAACTTGTTCCTTCAAAATTATTTGGCATACTAATTTGTATTTTTATCATACTTATAAAAGCAAAA